GACAGCTCACTGAGCCAGCCCTGCTTGGGCTAGAGAAGAGCTTCCATCGACTGGGAGCATTGTCTCAGCCTGATGACACATAGCTGAACAAGCATATTTCCATCCAGTCCTCTCATCTGATTATGAGCTCCCATGTGCGCCATGAACAAATATGCACCTATGCAAAAAAGTCATCAGTTCATTAGGGATTCTCCTATTTTCCATGGTAAGAAGCACTATTTGTCATGATGAGGCCCTGGAAGCCCAAGGCAGCAGCAGCAGTGTGTGTATGAGTAGAGCATGCTGCTGAATAAACCTCAGCCAGCAGTCACCATAGTGCTCTGAGTTTTGGGCTGGTACTGTGGATGGATGCCATACAGAGAGCACAACATGAAGACACCAGCTCACAAAGATTTAAAGAAAAAAATAAACCTTCCCTCCCTCTTCCTTCTTTTGCCATCGTCAAGGGGAATGCAGTGCTGCTCACTTCACACTGCTATGCAACTCCGAAGGGTGCTGCCAAAATGCCACCGCGATGTCTCATGGCACAACATTTCAGCCAAATACCAGCCCAAGGTGGGTGCGGGAACCAACCAGCCCTTTATATATTGCAGCAGCAGTGATGTCACACGCTCCAGCCAAGTATGCTGGTTTGCCCAGCTCCTGTCTAGTGAAAAAAGTTGACATTCAGTCTGTGCCAGGCCAGGAATAGTCTCTGTAATTTAACCTCCTCATCACAACTTGCTAGGCATTTAAGAGAGCCACTGAAAAAAGCCTCCTATTTAAAAGAGAGGGGAGGTTGGTTTCTGATTAATCTCCTTGAAATCTGTACATTTATGCAAGCTTTTTTGGTAGTTCATATCAGATGATGCCTACTGCAAACACCCCACATGTTTCTCAGCATTTCCCAAGCAGTTCCATATGCCCAGCATTGCTTCACTCTGTCTGGAACACAGCCTAAATTCAGGCATCCTTAAATGTTTTAACTAGCTGAATCCTGATCTAAGCTCAAACACTGCACCTTGCTTGCTGGCTGCCATGTTTGTCCAAAAAAGTAAAGAAATGGGACTTTACCAGGTTATTAAACCATCCATAAACAGCTTCTTTGCCCAAAGTTCAGAAGTTGCCTTCATACCTACACAAGGGATAGCCAGATTAGTACAATGTTGCTGTTTCAATCCAGTCCTGGTAGTGATCTGCACCTTGAATGCTTGGTGTAGATACAGCTTTTCCAGCTTAAAGCATTACACTACCCAAGTACTAGCATTATAGCCAGGAGAGACAAGGATCTTCTCAAGGGTTTTGGAGACATTAACAGTCTCTATTCTTTTTTAATCAGTGGCGCTGAGTTGTTTTTGTAACAGTGACTCCATCTAGGAAAATAATTGCTGAGATTACATCATGATCTCCATGTTTATTGTTACCCTACTCACTTTTCAGCAAATGTTCTCAGTTTACAAGGGACAAGATGTTTCTTCAGACCTCTGTCCATGAGATCTGAAAGCCAAGCTTCCTCGTAGTTCAGGCACCACCACCAATAAATAGTGATAAACATTGTGCTCCTGGAATTTAGTCAACAGCCCTGTTGATGAGTGAGCCAGAACATAATCACAATCTCCCCCGGCTGTGTTGGCTTTGCACAGTTAAGAGTAGCACAGAAGCAGTAAAATTGTAATTTAACCTCTGAGCAAAGAGATAACTGAGTACACATCTCTGCAATGAGGATGCCCTTTTACATCTGGCTGCAACCAGACATAGCTTTGGGGTTTTTTTTTCTTTGCTTTTACTTTTTTTTTACTCAGACATCTTAAACAGACCACAAAAAGCTCTGATTGGTACAGGTTTGTTCCTAAACTAACGTTGACAGCTGTCCTTCCTCAGGTAAGGTGTAGGAGACCATCCCAGTGGGTGAGCTCTTGTTGCTGGTTTTGCCAGCATGTTTTGAATACCACGGGCTGGCACGAAAGTTTCCTTAGAGGAGACTCTTGCTTCAGCAAAATCTACTGTATCTACACCTATGTGCTATTTGCATTACCTCAGGACCAGGCAGGAGAATAGGATTGTAGGAAATGGATATATTCTTGCAAAGATTAAACAAAGTAGCCTGAACCTTGGGGGTCTCCAAAATGACAGCAGCAATGCACATTCAGCATAGCTGAGCTTTCCTTTAGCATCTCCTGACTCTGGTTCATGCATGGAAGCAGAAACATGTTTTGTTTACTGTCCCTCACGATCCCAGCTGTCCACCTTTCCCTCTCATTTACAATGAGAGTGTGAAAAGGATGGACTTTCAAACCTCAGCTGCATTAATTCCCAGTCCACCAGATTGATGTTTGTCTATACTTGTTGGCAGTAGGAAGTCATATACAGGTGGAGTGAAGGCATACATTTTCCTCTGCAGTCCCTCTGAAAGGGTGGCACAGCAGGGATGTAGACAGCAGCAGGGAAGACATCACCTGGCATAACCCCTCTTTTTAGCCTGGAGACGTCACCCAGCCTTTGCAATGGGCAGACTTCCAGGAAACCATTGCTCACTCAGCTGTTAGTCCCTGCTGGGGCTACCAGAGAGTGCTGGAAGTTGTGACAGTTGTTTGCTAGGAACCTGACTGCACTCCACAAGATACCAAACCCTCAAGGTATCTGGTTATTATCACTCTGGGATGGATACCTGTCTCTTTTGATAAGGAATCCTGTAAATCACTCCAAAAATGGTTGTAAAATGTGAATGAACAAATAAATGAATGAATACTGCACGAGACAATCTTCAGATCATGAAAACAAATGTCTTTGTTTTCAAATTGCAGAGTTCACTTAAGATCAAAAAATGCTGAAGGTTGGAAACATCCTGAGACACTACTTCTGTCGAATCTATATCACTGGACTATTTCTACCTCCTTACTAAAGATGGTCAGAAATGAAGCCAAATACAGGCATGAGAGGGAGTTCTAAAGATGAGAAGCAAAATTACATGGCAGGTATGTACCTGTACTTTCTGCTTATATAACAGTTAAGAATCAAAACCAAGAGTGGGAAGGCCTTTCATTTGTCTTCTCTTTTTTTATTGCTGCATGTATGTGCAGTGGGGGAAGTGAAATTCACTTTTGAAAAATCTTTCTACAAAGTAAAATGCAGAAGCTCTATTAAGCTTGTTTTATTTCTGGTGTAAATCTATTGCAGTTCTGAATAAGTCATTGGAATTGTATGGCTGGAAGGACAGAATCAAGATTCACTATGATACTTTGAGTCTAAAAATAGGTTGGCTGAGGTTTTTTTTAAATAGAAAAGGAAGATGAGGAGTGTTTTCATTTGAAGAAACAACTGAGCCTGAGTAACTCAGCTGATTAAGCCCAGTTCCTCTGACTTTTCATGCTTTGACCATCACTGAGTCATCATGGGGAAAAACCTGCCCTTTCCAAGAGTCTCACTGAGATGGGCCAAAGTGCAATCATGGATTTGGACAGCTGGAGGGGCTGAAATCTGGATCTGGATTTCATTGCTCAGTTCTACAGTGGATCCAAGCACGAGATGGAGAGAGCTTCCACCTGTATAGAAGCTGGAAGCTGCTATAGATGTGAACTGTGGTGCTGCAGCTCATCACAAGTTAATGATGCAATTGTTTTAGGAAATGGAGATATAGACCAAACTTTCTTTAAGGAGTCTAAAAGGACTTTCCTTTTAGCTAGCTCTTGAATATGCTTTTAAACTGAGTCTCGCTGTAGTTTGATCAATACCCTGCTCAAGCCTGTGAATGTGAGAATAAGTATCTAAAGAATTTACAGAGTAAACTTCTAAGAGTTATAGTGTATAGATTTCGAGTATAGCTGAAAGGTCTATTTTGCTTCTGCTTGTTCCATCCAAAGATTCCCCCATCCTGTCTTCAGACTGATATGGAGACAGACAAAAAACACAACGCTGTGGGCCCTGCCTGTGCATCGCAATCAAGGATTAATGAAGGCTGTGATATTTTATAATTGTGTTGAATGGGTTACCTTTTGCTCTCAGCAGTTCTGGAACTGAAACCAAATGTTCCCTGTGTTCCTTTAGTGGGTCTGCTAGAGTCCCCTAGGCACTCCTGCCTTCTGCTGGCTAAGCTGGTATTAGCAGCCTCTTCAGTTTCAATATACCAACCAATCATATCTGGATATGGGTGGCTAAAGGATTTTACCCCAGCAATATTTGCTTGGAACATGCTAATGCACTGTAAATCCTCTTTACCTGTGGTGCCATTCTGCTTTCTCAAACAAGGGTTTGGATCAGTAATTGTCACAGCAAAGCTCCAGCCTGATACCAGCAAGTTCATCTCCGTAGACTTCATTTTCCACAGTCATGAGCTAACAGATGAGTGAGAACAGAATCTTCTATAGTAACTTTATTTTTCAGAAAATATTTTAAATTATAATTATGATGTCTTGCCAAGTAAGTTTTATCAACTTTTATTTCATTACGTAAGTTTTCTCCCTTCTTATTACTAATTCTTCCTGGCCAAAAACGGCTAACCTTCTTAGCTAAATACATGCACAGCACTAGAAAGTGTTTATGGTTGGAGGTATGGAAAGGGAAGTACTTGAAATTTGGCTCTTATATCCTTGTTTAAGAGCTCAAGTAAAGAATCTGAGGGGAGACCACTTTTTTCAATGGCACTTTCCAGAAATTAAACTATCTACCATGCACTACTTGAATTGACCAAAATAACAATTATTTTTCATGTTGTTTATTGTGTTGCTAGCATCTTGTTTAGAATACGTGTAGGAGCAAATTAGTCAGTGAATGATATATCTGGAAAATGCTCTCTGTCTAATAGTGTTAATATAGAAAAATGATAATTTATAATTTTTGGTTTTGCAGAGAAGAAAGTTTCCTTCAGCTATTCCGTAAGATGAATCGATGTGCAGCAGCACCGTCTGCAGGAATCACTTTGTGCTTGTGAATTGCAAACAGCTGGAACCACTCAACGCCATCATCTGCCTATTTGATACCCGAAATTAATCCTTTGGATAATTCATTCATGACTCCCATGAACAATGCAGGGAAATAAGAAACATACAGAAGGACATAGTGACTCCTCAAGTATTGGGAGTCTCCTGGATGACACAGACAGAGAGGTGAGCAGTCTAACAGACCGGGCTTTCAAAAGTTTGTGTGTGGCAGAACTCGAAGACTCTTACAATGAACCAGATGTTGCCATTTCACCTGACTTTGCCCTCCAATTTTCTGCTAAATTTCACCCAGGGACATTAAACCATACCATCAAGAAAAGCAACGTCTGTAACAAGCTAACAGCAAAAAACAATGAACATACAATATGGGCTTCAACATTCCAGCAGTTACCAAAGTGTGCTCCGGAGGAGAAAAGGATTGCTAAAAATAACACCTTTGCCACAGAAAGGAAAAAGCTGAATTTGCCAGTCCCTGGTCCAAGGAACAATAAACATGTTTCGAAAGTGTCCTCATTGATTAAGACTTTTGATAAGACTGCAGACCAAGGGTCAGGAGGTTCCCTGGTAGCCCTTAAGCAGCCCATTAAGAACAGCTTTCAAAAATATAAATTAAATCATGGAAATGATATGGCTTGCTGGGATGACACAGACATTTTAAGCATCCACAAGGAACTTTCTGAATTTTCTGAGGCTAGACAAGTTAGCCACTGTCTCAGTGGCAAACATGAGACACAGAAAAGACCTAATAAAATAGACATGAGTTATTGTGGCTCTGATGGTTATTATCCTGTGCTGATTGAGATGTCAAAAGTAGCCAAGTCAAATTTTTCCCGTTCGTCTAAAAAGGCTTTAAAAAACAGAAATGTGAAAGTTAATGAGCCAGCAAAAAAAGGTAATTTTCTTCACAGTGAGAACAGTGCTTTTGAATCATGGAATGTTCATCATAAAAAACTGACTGAAAAGGAGGAATTTGTTGATATAAAAACAAAAAAAGAAAGTCTTGCATACTTGGAAGAAGAACCATTTATTAAAGGATCCCACACACATGAACATAAATTACCACCTGCCAAGATCACTGTTGCTAAGAAGCAGGAGAAAGATTTTCAGATGGAGCCAACTCCATCAGAAGCTGCTTTCAGCATCCCTCTCCCAGCTATATACGTACCTCAGGGCCCCCTCCCTTCTCCCCCAACACCCCCTACCCCTGAAGCCCCTCCTGTGCCACCACCCCCAATACCAGCTCAGCTTTCCCCCCTTGCCACATCCCAAGCCTCCATCTCACCCCAATCCATGTCCTACAGGATAGTTTCACCCTCACCCATGTCCCAGGCACCCAGCCCACCTCCACCAAGACCCCTGGCCCCCTTAACCGAAGAGGAGGCCCTCAGTCCCCAACTGGGCAATACCTGTCCACCCTGGAGGAGACAGAGAGCTACAAAAGGGGCAGCAGGGAAGAGACAGACTTCAAAGGAGAAGTTCACAGCCAGCGATGAGATCGTTTCATTGTCTGAAAAGGCGACTGGTGCTGAACCTGGCCTGGATGTCACTCCTCTGGCTAAACAGGTAAACTCCCCTGGATCAGTCAGTCCCTCTTTCAACATCACCGAACTCTTAACACCCATCATACCACCAAAACAGGAGGCAGACCCTGTGGAAAGCGAGCTGATCCCGCTGACACCTCCTCCCACTGAGAACACAGCAGTGAGAGACCACGAGGGGAGCACGTTTGGCAATTACAGGTCTCGGGATAGTTACAAATCGAAAGCATCGAGTCTGTTATTCAACTTGAAAGATGTACGTAAACGTGTTAAAAGCATTTATACCCCTTCTCCCCTGTTAAGGGTCTTGGAGGAGAAAAATAAAACTAGGGAAAATACACAGGAGAATACAAAAATGAATGCTTTGCCTTTGACCTTACAAGAAAAAAGTAACAAAAATATTGCAGAGAAAGATGAATCGGGTGATATAACCTCCATATTGTCTGGCAGTGTTCACGAAAAGGACAATAAAACTGATTTAACTGGACACTTTACAGACAATTATCTGACTTTGAGTTCACCCCAGACAACAGCAGATCTTTTATTTTACCAAACTGGAGACAACTTGCAGCAAGAAGATTCAAAACAAAAAGGTCTGGTTAAAAACACAAGGGGTAATGAAAACTTCACCTTGGTCAGACATGAATCAAATGAACCCGATTTCAGGAAACGTCTGCAGTATCCAGCGCTGAAACCATTCAGTAAAGACAATGCAGATACAACAGCTGGGCAGCCCATGCAAAATCCCAGTGTTCAGGGTGAGGAAAATGAGAGACAGGCTGCTATTCGGAACAAAGAGTTTGCCTTCAAAACACTCCCAAACCAGCTCTCACCAACAGAGGATGTGCCTTACAGTGACATCCAAACCAGTATGGTGGTAACTGGCCGTGAAGCACAAGGCAAAAGAAGCAGCAGTTCTTCGGAGCAATCTTTTGTCTCCACGGTAGAGCAGCCACTTCAGGAGGAGCTGTTTCCACCAGAGCCCCTGATGCAGAAGGCATGCCTTCAAGAAAGCCAGAGGACTAAGAGTGAAATGGGTGCAGACAGCAAGAAAAGCCACAAGGAGTGAGGGAAAGATGTTGAGGAAGATGAACTGCAATATTACGCTTGTATCAGCTCTGGTACTGGTGCAGCAGAGAAGGAGGGTAGGGTTACTGGGAATGAAGAGAGGAGCTTGATGGAAGAGAAACTAAGGAGAGAGAGAAGAGAAGAGGCCAACAGCATGGATTCTGCTTCTGACAGCCTAAGGGACATGTCCATCCCCAAGTCCGAGGAGCCACAAACACCCCCATCTTCAAGCTCAACCAAACCCAGTCTGTTTATGATTAAAGATAACACATTTAGGTCACCTCAGGTAATACGGGCTGTCAAGCTGCCCCTGTTCAGGTCATTTTCCCTGGATGATACAGTGAGCAGCAGTTACAAGGAAATGGAAAGTAGGTTTGTGCCCCCAGCAGAGCACAACAAGCAGCACCGCAACATGTTGCATGCCCAGGAGGTAGGCTGGTCAGCATCAAGGCACAGAGGGCAGCAGAATGTGAGGGATGGAGCAGCTGAGAGGGAAAGAGGCCAGTGAGCCTGGATCTACTTCAGCAGCACTGGATCCCAGTCTTCTGGAAGATACAGAGAGCTTTTCATTAGGGAAGCTGATGGAAGATGAAGAGACTTGTGCTTTGTTAAATAAAGTTGGGAAAACGAATGAGGAAAGTGTCTGCAGAAGGAAAGAGAAGCCCCAGACTAGGAAGGCAAGACACAGCTTAACACAGCCAAATTTAGGTCTGGAAAATTACCAAGCACAAAACAACCACAGCTATCCCACAGAAAGAAAGACAAATTACTTTAAGAATCATCATTTATCTAATCGCAGAGGTGGCTCTTGTGCGAAGAAAATAATCACTAGGGAAACCATTTCCCCTGTGACTGACTCCATATCAGAGGACCACACATATTCTCCAGTATCCCATGTAGCTTTAGAGGACATCCTACATACAGAAGGTGCATCAGTTTTGTTAGACAGTCTTGCATGCTCTGCTGTTACAAGCTCCAGGTCAGGCAGTACGATGCACTCTATTGCTGCCAGTTCATCATCAGACAAACCAACAAGAGAGACAGAGGATGTTATAAACCCTGCCTTGCTAAACATGGCACTAAAGAGCCAAGCTGATATGTCTGCAGAAGAGATACTTGATTCAGCACAGAGGAATCTGCCTCCTGATTCTGCAGGGGAAGCTGAGAAACTGGAGCCCAGGGGACTTGGGGAGAGAGCAACAGGCAAGCCTCCCGCTGTGCCACCGAAAACAGAAAAGGCTCTGCGGCGGGCCAAAAAGCTGGCAAGCAGGAGAAAGAAAATGCAAGAGCAGCAAAAAAAACATCAGACTGAGCATACAGATGCTGTAGGGAGAAAGTCTTCTCATTCTGGACAGACACTAGCATCTCCCTCACCCTTGGGTTATTGTCCTCTCCATCCTGCCCCTCACTCAACTTTTACTCCCACAGAAACCATTACAGGAAGACCTGGTGGTGCATCAGCAGTAAGCCCTTCACCTTCTTCAACCCAGCGTAAACTCCTCCAAGACCCTGACTCCGGCCAATACTATGTAGTTGATTTACCAGCTGAAGTCAATTTGAAAACATTTTATGACCCAGAAACTGGCAAATATGTTCAAGTCTCAGTCCCTTCCTCGGAAGGGAACTTATACCAGCCCCCCTCTTCAGAAATTATGAATTCTCCCTGTGCCTCCTACCCTAGAGTGCTGCCTTTACCAGCTTCATCTGTAGCAGTGCTGAAGTCACCTTCTCAGCTCTCTGAACCTACCTGGTTAATGCCAGCTGTACCAGGAGAACGAGCTGAACTACCTGAAGATGGCCAGCAGGACTACAGATATGCTGAAGCTGTGGATACCCAGCCCAATATTGAACCAGCCTCTTACCCCTACAGTCAAGATGGTGAAGAAACTCAAGTTCACTTACAAAAGGACATGAGCCCAACTCCAAATACTGATATCGTGTCCCTCACCAATTTAGATGATTTTGCTGCTGAAGGAGTATCTTGAAAACAGAAGTAACAAAATATGCCAGCTAGTGTTTTTAAGAATCATTTGGACAGACACACGCACACAAAAGCACATGCAGATTTGATGTTTGTACAACACTTTATGTCTGAATCTCATTGTGGTTTGGGTTGGGAAGAAAAATGAAAGCTGACCACATTGAAAGACGCAAGGTGATGATCACTCTGAAAAAGTGTGAAATTGAGTAAGCACTAAATTATCAGTGAGATGAAGGGGCAATGCCAGCTAAACAAATAAATACGACAGTACGAAGCCACTGCTTGCTGCTGCTGCTGCTTTGCCATTATGATGGCTGGGATTGCCAAAGCAAGTGTCCTTTTGCCCAGATGTGTTGCATGATATATGACACAAAGTAAAACCTAGGAGACCGTCCTGTCCATCCTATGAGACCTAGGACAGTTGCCAGATCTACTGAGCTTTCCTCACTCACTGCCTTTGAACTATATTGACAGGTAGAAAGCATATGGCTACAAATATGCCATAAACCCAAGATTCATTTTTTGCACACATTGATTGTCCAGATGTTATTGACAAGAAGATTGTATACTGGATGCACAATACAACAGCTATGTCAAAAAACCTATGAACAACCAGAATACAGTTACAGCTGCTCTAACCTTGTCATATACTTTTGCAGTGTCCACTAACATGCTGCTGAATTCTTTATATTTCTTGATAATCTCCAAATAAGTTCCCTTAGAGTTAGGGGTTATTTATAATGCAGCTTAAAACTTCAACTTGTCTTGATACTTGGCCTGAAATATTTTGATAAGGAATTGAATGAAATCCCATAACGGTATTTAATTTTTTGTTAGGATGAGAAGACCTTTGCTTATTATAATTGAAGTGCTTTTTGTTTTGTTTTGTTTTCAGGCTCCCACTGAAATACAGAGCTAACTTTTAAAACCTGAAAAACATTGTACCTAATTGTGGTCTTGTGAATTCTGTGATTTAAAAAAAAAAAAAAAAAAAAGAGATACGAAACATCCGAAGTATTAATTTCTAGAAAAGTGCTTCTTTGGATTACCACTTTTCTTTGAAACTTCTGTATCAAAATATCACTCATCCTTGCGTAAGCTCTTTTTTATCGTCATAGATAATGAGAGAACCTTGGTGAAAAGATGGAAAAATTGAATGTAATATGCCTGCTTATAAATATCTATATTTGGAGTATTGGTTTCCTTTTTCTCCGTCTCATTTTCATACTGTTTTCCCCAATTAAAACTGAATTGCAGAAGCTCTAGGAAGAATTATACCAGTGACTTTCAGCCTGTTTCACATCTTAGGCTGTTTTTACAGGATTGTTTTCAGTGAAGTGACTCTTGACTTCCTGAAAACAAAGGGAAGAATTGGGCCTTTTACTGATAAATACAACTTGGAGATGGAACACAGGCACTGCCCCACTCTCCCCATTTTAATATTTAGGATAGATATATTTTCTTCAGTAAGTTCTTTATTTCTCAGGACCAAGGATGCTTTCAGGACACAGTGTTCAGGACAAACACTTGATGGTTTGGCTCCTTCCCTAACCTAAACTCAGCTCCCAGCCTTCCTCCATCCCTGACAAGAGCAGTGCATTGAGAACCTGTCCTGATCCCATCAGACACTTCCTTTTGTCAGTGCTATTTGCTAAAACATTTTCCACAGAGGGGCCCGACAGACACTAAGGGCATTGATTTCAGTGGGCTTTGGATTTGGCCTTTCATGATTTTCTCAAGTTTGTTTTACCTGTTATGGAGAGCTGTGTCAAGTTTGCCACTTTGTGATTTGGCAGAGAGGGTTGCAGCAGAGGTGTGGGGTGGAAATGGAGAAGCTTGTACTGGTTAGGTTTGGGTTTTGAGCACATTCAGCCAAATGCTCATATTTGAGTAAATATTTATTGTTCAGTCTCCACCCTCGAAGGTTTTCAACACATGACCGGATAAAGCCCTGAACAACCTGGGCTGGCCTCAGAGCTGACCCTCCTTGAGCAGGAGGTTCATCCAGAGATCTCCTGAGGTCTCTTGCAGCCTGAATTATCCTATGATCCTATTCTGCAGACATTAACATTTTTAAACCAACTTTGACTTGGAACTCAGAAAATGCAGTCTCCCTGGGGAAAGGGTTCATTTTGAAAGACATAAAAAAGAATTTGAAAATCAAGAGTGTTTCAGGAGCAAGGATCAATTTTCAAGTTGTTAAATTAAGGGAAATGACTCTTATTATGAATATTTTTCCTTTTTTTGGTCACAAATATTTTGCTAAACTGACATGGTGCCATTGATGTTGCACTTCTCTGTCGCTGTCACTGTATACAGCATAATGCCTATCCAGTGTAGAGCAGAATGTCATCTACATGTTAAAATACATCTATTAAAGTTTTCCATGGTACATTTAGACAGAACCTATGTAATCTGAAAGCCTAGCAGAGTGCACAAGCCATTTTTTTGGTTTAATATTACCAATTTAAATGCCCTTAACAGCCACAAGTCAAGAAGCAGGCAGGCTCTCAGAGGACAGGGTAAAAGCATGCTTTCCAAGGCGAGACTATGGATACAAAATATCTGTGCACAGACATAAAAGAAATGGTAATTTTATAAGCAAAATATACAACTGCATTTAAAAAAAAAAAAAACTTTTGCTTGGTTAGCTGTAATTTGTTTTGTAGATGTGCATACTTCTACATCCTTTTTTCGAGGGCTTTCTTAAACTCTTACTGTGGAAAATGGGATCCTCCCATATACTACTTCTAGGTATGCGTGGAAAGCAAAGTGTATTTTTTACACTACTGTGAGGGCAAACTGAAATGTGGGCATCTAAAAAGGGTCAGTCCTAACTTGGATGCCTAATATATTTCAAGTAGGACTTCTTTATATTGGCCAATATGTTCTGCTAGCTTAAGGGAGCTGCATTCACGGCAGACTGTGCCTCTAAACATGCGTATGTCCCAGATGGAGTTTTGACCTAGAGAATTTGTAGCTAAATGGAACAAACAGAACTGGGGAGTTTTGAAAACAAGCATGAAAGTAGTTCTCATCATGTATCCAGAGCTTTCTCTAGAGCACTTTGTCATAGGGAGTGAATGATACTATAAAAATGTTGCTCCAGGTCCCAGCCTGGTATTGACTCCACTTGACTATGAACTCATCAGCAAACCTGTCTCTGGCCTAGACCACGCTGTTGGCCAACTTCTTGCTAGGCCATGGGAGTGTGTGTGTGTGTAAACACACACATGCACACACATAAACAACTATATATATATATATAAAAAAGTATTATATATATATAATCTGCCTATAAAACTTCCATTTGCATATCAGTACAAGGCAGCAGTAATGCCTGTGATGGTGAACACAAAATGTTTGTACATTAAAAGGAAGCCAAATGACACCTTTTCAAATAACAAATATTTTTCTTTCCTTGCCCTTTTCTGTTTGTGTTTGTTGGTGTTTTTTTTTTTTTCCATTGCTGCTGTGGGAAACTAGGATGGAAGAGGTCATTACTAGGTAAAATGACAGCTGTGAATTGATCTCTTCCTTTGGGGGAGGGAGCTATGGGAAATGTGCAATAGTTATGAAAGCAGTTGGAGGAAAGCACTGTTTCATGATGCAAACGATAGTGACATTAAATCATAGGTTAAAGAGGTGTTGAGACAAACTAAGTTGAATTCTGCCTTGCCAGCAGCCAGTGGTTAGGACTAAAGAACACAGCAGTCTCTTTGCATGCACAGAATCACAACAGGCTGAAGGGAACAGAGGGCCATTGCTTTCACTGCTCCCTTCTTCTGCAGGTGGCCTTTTTTGCATGTTGCATTTCTGGGTGCCCTGAGGCTCGTTTACAGTGGTGGTTCTTCATTGGCAAATGTGACTGAGAACAAACCTGGTTTGCCTAGTCTTTGGCTCTTGGGCCGGAACCGTCTCCCTTTGAACCTCCTTCTCCTTCTGAGGCAACTGTTACACCTTCCAGTCCAGTTGTCACACGGCAGACTTGGAATGCCATCCTGCAGCCATGGCTCTGTCCCAAGAGCTCAAATTTCCTCATGCAAAATGCTGGATTTGTTTTAGAGAGTGCAGTTTAATTGAAATGGCCTACATGCGTGGATTTTTATCAACTCCTCCTTGGGTGTTCAGTGCCTTCCTAAGTCATCTCTCCAAGAAAATGTGTGTCATCGGCACGTTCCATCAATGGAACTGTATTTGCAAATAAGTAATTACTTATTAATTAATAAACAAAATAAACTGGACTTGTTTTACAATACTGGAATGACTTCTAGCCAGCTTTTTCACTGTAATTATGTCTCATTGTAATTTTATCTCCAGTTATGCCAGCAGAGAAAGTCAACAACGTGGACGTGTGTGTTTGTGTGTGCATGTGTGTGGTACACAATTAAAAGATCTAGGAGATGACCGGATGCAGGGCATCTGCCCCGTTCCTCCCCCTCCTCAAGAGAGGGAGCAGGAAGCTGGGCAGAAACGCCTTTAGCCCAGGACTTCTGCAACCATTCCCACCCCTCCCTGCTGTGCAAGGGCAGTGGTCTGGCCAGAGGACCCTGGGGATGTGGTGCCAGAACCCAGTCCAGCAGAACTGGAAGACGGTCACCTTCTTGCCACCACCCAGAGGACATCAGGGCTTTCTCATTCCCTGTGCCTCATCTGCCTGGGGGAAGTTACCAGCCATGTAACTTGATGTAACTTGATGTCTTTTTCCTTACTCACCAGTCCTGCAGATTGTATGGAGTCTCCGAAGTCTTGTCAGTGACAGTTTTACATTTCTCCTCCATTCCTGTTATTGTCAATTGCATTATGAAACACAACAGAGACTCTTCTCAAAGTGATTTTGGCTCAGTCCTTGTCCAGACTGACAATTCTATTTAGATGTGCTCTGCTTTGATCCCTGACTAGCCAAGCAGTCCTTGAGACAGTGAAAGTGTTACTGTGGTTTGAATATAACAGAGCATAAACAGAAAAGTTGGCTAGTTATGTTTTGACCAGAAATACATTGAC